GTCAGCACTTGGATGATGCTTTTAAACTTTGTTAAGATGCCCAAGCAGTCCTTCATTTATAGTTTATTTTTTTTAGTGCCCTTTAGTTCCTTCGCCAATTAGTTTGCTCACAGATCCTTTCTTTCATACTACCTGCTATTGCTGGGGAGTGACTGCATATCATTTATTCTCTCCACTGGTCCACTTTAACTTCACAAAAATTTCCAATCATTCATTCTTATGAAATCCAAAGGAAGAAAAAAGAAATGTAAATTAGAATTTAGGGAGCATGAGGATGGTATAGTCAGAAACAATTTCATTAATTTTCTTTTTGGTAAATTTGGTAAATCACATGCACACCATTTTGTGAATTGGCAAAACTATTCTTCTGGTATGTAATGAAACTGTTCATTCCTGTAGATCTCTTAAAATTTTAGAAAGATAAAATTCTTCTGATCCAATGATCTAGAAATATTGCCTACCTTGTTCTAAGCATATAACAAAAGCAAAGAGGTAAGGCTTGAAAAAGAAAAAGGAATTAATGAAAAAAAAGTCATTCGGTAAATAATTGGGCTGCTAGAATTAGGGTGAAAGTGCCCCAGCAAACATCAGAGGAATCTTTCTGCTCTTCTCACAGGACTGTTAAAACCATTCGAGGTTCCTATGGTGGTAGAGGTAAATAGCCACAAAGGAAGGTTTTAATTTCTAACGAATTCTTTTCTTTCTCAATTTAAATCTACAAAAAATACTAGTTGATTCTAAACTGGCTATTTAAAATCATTTAAAGAATAGGTTAGTAATAAAGTATAAAATCATTTTGCTTCTGCCTTGTTTAAACAAAACATTTGTACAAAGTGACTGAAGGGCTAAAGCTCACAAGGGGTAAATTTTGATTCCCAAAACATACAGAACCTCTTTGTAAAAAAAAAAATGACACAGCTGTCTCTGACACTTAACACCAACCAAAATTAAGGAGAAAAATCTATAGGATTTAAACTTTAGGAGTGACATATTTAAATACGCGTATATTACTTGGTTTTCCCAGTTGCAATGTATGGCTGTGAAAACTGGACCATAAGAAAGGCTGAGCACCAATGAATTGAGGCCTTTGAACAATGGCGTTGGAGAAGACTGCTGCAAGTCCCTTGGACTGCAAGGCAATCAAACCGGTTAGTCCTAGAGGAGATCAACCCTGACTGCTCTTTAGAAGGCCAGATCCTGAAGATGAAACTCAAGTACTTTGGCCACCTAATGAGAAGAGAGAAAAGCCTATCCTGGGAAAGATTGAGGGCAAAAGAATAATGGGACGACAGAGAATGAGGTGGCTGGATGTAGTCACTGAAGCAGTAGACGTGAACTTAAATGGACTATGGGGGATGGTAGAGGACTGGAAGGCCTGAAGGAGTGTTGTCCATGGGGTTACAATGGGTCGGACATGACTTTGCAACTAACAACAACATTAGTTGATTAATGTGTTCTGAAATAGTGGATCTTGTGAATTTAATCATATATGTGTTGGAATATGTATGTATATTTTTGGTATGTTTTCAATAAAGCATTTTATCCAGCCATGTCAAATCTATGAAGCTTCTATTATTGAATATAAAGTTTAGCTGAACATTTTTTACTTACTTCCAATCCTTGATTAAGTCTGACAATTAAGCAGATATGCTATTCACAATAAATACCTGGTCGGTACTAGAAACAAATGTCTCCAGAGGCAAAATGGACAAGAGATTATCAAAGTATAAGACTTATTACTGTTGATGCATGTAAAATATGATTACATTTCTTACACTGTAAATTGTTGACTGCTAAAGAAAATTAAAAAGCTTAGAATGATGCAGTCTGCTTATTACAGAATCAAAAATGAGCATAAAATATATGGCTTTTTATAGTCACCCTCATCTAAAATGATTTCAGGGGAAATAGCTAATAAATATCTTGCCAGAAGAAATCTATTTTCCTGTGGAAATAAATTCCAAAAGAGTCAATATAAAATATCAGTGTTGTTTACTTTAAATAATGAATTAAAGATTTTATTATCTTCAACTATACCACTTGCCCAGTTTCTTCCTCCAGAAGTTCTAATAGTGAAGAATGTTCATGCAGACATTCCCAAAATACAAGACAACTTGCTCCTTGTGGAATTATTAGATTTTTATTGATTAGAGGATATTTTAAACTAGTCTGCCATATAACTACTATGCAACAGTAGCATATAATTGCTATCAAAGTACAGTAAATGAAATGCTTATTCTTGTTACATGTTTCTATATTATCTTTTCCTTTTGTTAGCCATCTGAACTCAAGTCATTTTTCCATAAAGAAATACAATGTATGAAATTTAATAATTGTGTATTCAAACCAATATTGATTCAAAGTTATTTTAGATCATCTACATGATTAAACATTCAAACAGCCATATTTGCTAAGAGTTTCAAAAGAAAATTAAATTCCCATTTGCAATATCCATGTATTTTTAAAAAGTACATTAATTCATTAGTTATATTCTGCCAAAGAAGCAATAGTTTCTTGAGATGTGAGTTTGTTTACCATAAATAAAGAATGTGATAATAATCAGAAATATGCATCATTTCTAGCTTGGTACTGTTACATACAAATTATGAAATAACTGAATGCTCATGGTCCAAAAATGTTTTTTTTAAAGACATTGAGATACCTATTGTATAAAATTGTGAAAGTACTACATATAAAAAACCTATTAGACTTTTATTAGCATGCAGTCTTAAGAAAGCTGTCAGTGGGAACTTAGAATTTTTAGCAGCATCCTCGGATTATTACATATGCCACAAATTATATACATCAGAAACATACAGATTTTTATACAGCAAAAAGGAAAGTTGAACATTTTTAACATCCAAAATACTGAATATGCTATTTTAACATATCTGTTACGTGATTCAAGTAAGTACCACTATCTGGTCACTAACTTCTGCGTTAAATTCACAGTAATTCAGGACCTTATCTTTTCTTGTTTTCTTAACTAAACTTATTTCTATAAAATTAAACACATATTTCAGGTTTCCATCCATATTTTATGTTTAAAGTTTTCTGAATACTTTGATGTATTTGATTCCAATACTTTTGACTTACTTTAAATGACCATCACATTTGGTAAAAGGTTTCTTCTTTATTGCAGCATTCCCAACAATTGCTGTTAAATTATTTCTGTCTTTGTAATCACGGGAGGAGTTATATGCCATTTGCAAAGTATTTTATACCAATTTCTGACCAAATTATAAATTGGAATAGATTTTATTTATTTTTTCCAAAGTTGTTCCCATTGTTCTACTGTGATTACTTTGAAGTTTTGCATCCACTCCATCATGCAATGTTTAATTTGTTCCATCTCTATGTATTTCAATAAGTTTATATTTACATCCAAATAGATAATATATTTATATAAAAGATAACTTATATAAGTTTTTTCAAATTCTGTCATCTTTTTCCATATCATTCCTTGAGATCACTCTTTATTCATCCAATAATGTATAAATACCTAAACCATAGTACATTTCTACCCACAATGAGCAGTTCTCATTGTTATCGTTATTCTGTAATCTGGGTGTATCATATTAGTATATCTGATTAAATTACATTTGATGGGGACTGCTGGACTTATCCATGTTTTTAGAAGATTCCATATTTTTAACAAACTTGACTTAATATGTTTTTTTTAATCTATTTTCTTCTTTTGTTCTTTATGCATTGAATAACTATAAAGTCCATTGGTTAAGCCAGGGCTTCTATAATTTATATTGTTCTATTTGGAGATTAAGAAATAATTCCTATAACACATCTCCTTGTCTTGCAGCATAAAAAAATATAATTAGACATTTCGTCTCATTTTTCCTATTTAAAGAGAAAATAAAGAAAATAAAGCAAATCAATGTTTTTTAAAGGAAGATAACTATAATTTTTTTAAAAAAAAATTAAATAAGAAAATACAAACATTTGATGCCAAGGAAGATAAATAGAAGTTGATAAAAAGAAAAGTGGAATGTAATGTTCTAATTCAGTAGTTCTTAACCTAGGGCTTGTTACCCAAGAACAGCACTGATCTATTATAAGTAGGATTTCATTTTTGTGGTGGTTGTTGTGGTTGTTGTAGCAGTAGCACAAGAAAGTGATTTTTCAAAAAAGAAACTAGCAATAATAGTAACTCCAGGTGATAATTTGGGCATATTCTAGAGATAATGGAATCATCCATTGTTTGTTAGTTGAGGATCTAGTTTGGAACTCCTTCTGCAAAACAAAAGAATGTGGGGTTTTAAACAGAATAACAGAGTTGGAGAAGATCTTGGAAGTCTGCTAATCCAACCCCTTCAATTTTGATCAGCTTTCTATATTTTGGATATCAGAAGATANCACTTCCAGCGACGCAGGCCGCCAAACCACTACCAGTTCGGACAAACCAGTCCGAACTGGTAGGAACACACCACTGCTTCCAACTCTGCTATTCCATTCTATTTCCCTTCTATTGCTTGCCCCGGATAGGATTTTGAAAGAATCCTTGAAAGAGGGCAAAGGAACAAGCATGATTTCTTCATCATGCTTCAGTTTCAGAGCATGCATTGATAGCTATAGTATCTTGAATATCTGTATTGCAAAATGCCATCCATAATTTATGATTATAAATTAGCAGCCATAATGCATACAGAAACATAAATGTAATATCTAGAGTGGAAAAAAGGGATCCCTTATACGGTTTCAATTTTTTCAGCACTGACAACTTTGAGGTTTTTAAAATGACATCATAATGTTTTGATTTGTCGTATCATCCCTGGTGGGGAAGAAAGTTGAAAGTTTAAATTCTACTACAGCTTTTCCAGTTTATTGCAGCTAGAACTAACAGCTTGGTCATTTGTCAGAAAGATATAGATGTATGAGATCTGCTGGATATATCACGCCTTAGATTAGAACCTTTGGAAACAATAAAATAAATACTCAAGGAATCGAATGGTTTTTGTTAATCTTATGTTTTTCATATCATGCAGGTTAGGAAACTAATTGTGCTTGACCCCAAAAAACGGCTTACCACTTTCCAAGCTTTACAGCATCCTTGGGTCACTGGAAAGGCAGCCAATTTTATTCATATGGATACAGCTCAAAAGAAACTCCAGGAATTCAATGCTCGACGTAAACTGAAGGTATATATCTTGAGGGAGAAAAAGGTTTTAAATAGTTTTTTTTTAATGACAAACACTGAAATTTTTTATTTTTGTAACCCTGTCATAATATTGACTGAAGCATATGCATATTCCAGAAACTGAAACTGCCTAATTACATTGAGATGAATCCAACATTAACCATACTTGGATAAAAGGCAATTGGAATGCATATTGAGGCAATTAACTTCTGTGAAAATCCCTTTCAGAGAAAATATGTTCTACAAGTTTAGGAAATATTACAGAATGATGAGGGAAGGTGTTATAAAGAGGGGGGAATCTTTGATATACTATTTTCATCAGAAGACCATTTCGCTCTGTTCAGGAGATACTCCCACTAACCAAATGTAATGTTATATGTAGTTAATTGCTTAAACTAAAAGTAAATGTGAACCCTTTAGAGCAGGGGTGTGAAACTTGCATCATCACGGTGGCTTCATGTGACGTATCAGATTTTTTTTACCCTTCGCTAAACTGGGCAGGGGCAGCACATGATGCATATGGCCCACAGCGCATAAATTTGACGCCCCTGCTGTAGAGGGATTATCAGTATAGTTGCTGCCAGCATGTTCACATGACACTTATTCATGTTTAATGTCAAATGTGCCATAGCTCATAGCTTGGATATATTCACTGACTTTGTGTAGTTGACTAAAACATAAGTGCTTACAATCCTGATTTATAATAAATTCAATGTTTAAATTCATGCCTTATAACAGCAATAGCAATAGCACTTAGATTTATATACTGCTTCATAGTGCTTTATAGGCCTCTCTAAGCAGTTTATAAAGTCAGCATATTGCCTCCAAAAATCTGGGTCGTCGTTTTTACCGACCTCGGAAGGATAGAAGGCTGAGTCAACTTTGAACCATTGAGAATCAAACTGATGGCTGCAATACTGCATTCTAACCACTGTGCCACCATGGCTCATAGCGTATTGCTATTATAATAAATCAGAAAATCTATTTATGTTTTGTGATACCGTATATACTCGAGTATAAGCCGAGTTTTTCAGCCCACTTTTTGGGCTGAAAAAAGCCGCCTCGGCTTATACTCGAGTCTACAACTGGAT